GTCTTGGTTTCTTATCACACTGCTGGGCTTTGCGAGACGGGCCCTCACTCCTGCCTGGCCCCGGCCTGCTCTCTTCAAAGTGGCGGGCTGCACCTGTGTGGCCAGAGGCCCATGCATGGCTAAGCCTCTCTTTCACCATCTTGAGGTCCTTATTTATTTATTTATTTAGGCACTGTTTTAGGCCCTTTATACATATTAATTCCTTTAATCCTCACAAGAATCTCATAAAAAGTAGGTACTGTTATTATCTCCCATTTTACAGATAAGGAAACTGAGGCACAGAAGGCCTTTCCTCAGAAACTCTTAAGAGAATAAGCTCTTAGTTTAGTGCTTTTGAGACTTGAGAAAGCAGAATCACTCTCTGAAAACCTGTACCCCTCCCTGGATTTGGGGGGGTAAATATCTACGTTTTAAAATTAAAAGAAATATCATCTGCTTTATTCTCTTCAGACTGCACCCTGATCTAAATTTGGGGTGGTGGTGGCTGAACACTTTTTTTTTTAAAGATGACCGGTAAGGGGATCTTAACCCTTGACTTGGTGTTGTCAGCACCACGCTCAGCCAGTGAGCGAACCGGCCATCCCTATGTGGGATCCGAACCCGGGGCCTTGGTGTTATCAGCACCGCACTCTCCCGAGTGAGCCACGGGCCGGCCCTTGAGGTCCTTAGTTATTATGAGCAAGGTGCCACCTGCTCATCTGACACTGGTCCTGCCTGCGACCTCTTGGTCTGCCTCAGGCAATGGCTCTGAACTTGAGGGAGGCCCGGGGCTGGCTCTCAAGTCTGGCTTGGTCCAGAGCAAGCCAGTGGCTGTTATCCTCCCGACCTGCCATGTGTCCAGTGCCTGGCATGGTGGAGGAGGCCGCGCCAGGTCTCACAGGCCTAGGCTCAGTCTCAGCTCTACTACTTTGTGGGACTTTGGGCTCTTTTGCCTCAGTTTCCTCATCTGTAAAATGGAAGGACAGCACCCACTTCCTTTCTGAAACAAGGTAGTTATTAAAAAGTCATCAGTGTCGACAATGCAGGCGGCTGTGGGGGCTCTAGGGGACATCTCAGCAGCTGCTCGTGGCAGGGCATTAGAGGGTCCTGGGTCATCACCACCGTGGCCAGGCCTCCATCTCCCCAGGTAGTCCTTTGGGTCAAGCCTGATAGCAGGAAGCCCTGCATCTCCCTCGAGGCCCCCTTAAAGTATCACATGGGGACACCTCAACCCCTCCATTGTCCTGCTCCCTCCAGGTGTCACCCTGCAGGCACTGTAGCACGCTGCTCAGCTTCACCCTGTTCTCCAAGACACAGGTTGAGGCCAAGTCCAGAGGAGATGCCATTGCCTCCATGTGTGGCCTACTGGGCAGCAGGAAGGGGCAGGCCCAGGAACAAGCCCCCATGGGTTTTCCACCAGTGTCTCAGGGCCCCCCTGGGTGTCCTGCATTGGCCCATCACCAGCTTCTTCAGGCCACACTGCTCCCACCATCCCCAGGCTGGCAGCCACGAGAGGCCTCCCAGGACAGGGCAGTCGTCACCCCATGCACGTGACGGAGCCCGCGGCTGCCTTGTCTCCCAGGAGCTGCCCAGAGAAAAGGGCACAGCCTTGGTAGTCCTTCTGCCATGGGGCCTGTGCGCCAACCATCCATCCCTGACCACACCTAGACGCTGAGCAAGACCCAGGGAGCCCCCAGGACAGCCTCGACCTCCTAGCATAGGTGTCAGCACTGTGACAGCCGCCTGTGAGCTGGGTCGGCATGGGGTGCTGGTGGGCATTGCCCAGTTGCCAGCTCATGGGAACGCTGGCAGCTAGAATTTCGCAAACTGGCCTCCTTTCACCCTTTCGGGATTTCTTTTTGTCAGTCCCACAGGAAAGGAAATGGACAGTAAACCTCAAGACCTGCTGGACTTGGACCCAGGCAGCAGGCACTGTGAGGACACCTGCAGAGCCAGCTTCAGATCTAGGCTCTGTGTAGGTCACATAGTTTACAGCGGCAAGAAGCAGGCCAAATGGGAAGTGGGGGTTCCGTGCTGCTCCTTCCAGGGAGTTGGGCATCCTGCCCCCAACCTGACGTCCAGACCCCAGGGGGAAAGGAGGGTCTAGCCCCAGGTGCAGGCCAGGCTGTGGCCAGCCTCCGTCCCGCTGCAGGGAGTTGGGAGCCAGGGTGTCGTGGTGCAGGCCTGGGGAAGAGCCAGGCGGGCTTATGACCCTGGCCTGTCTCCCTTCAGAGGACTGGACCCCTCTGTCCGGAATCCGATGGAGGAAATGCTGCAGTGATAGGAGCGCATGCAGAGCTGGCAGCAAACACTCGGGAAGGCCCCCGTGTCCGACTTGTTGGAGTTACTCAGTGCGCTCTGCACACACCCAGCATGAACTGAGGACTGGACCTGGGAGGCATGCCCAGATGCAAAGGGAAACTACTTGGTGAGAGAGGCTGGTCATCGAAGGATCTATTTTGAATAAAAAAAAGGGAGGACTGCCTGGCTGAGCGGGGCCTTCGGGAGACTGCGTGTTCAGGTCTGCTCATGGGTTCTGCCGGACGCTGCTGGAGTCACAGATGGGTGAAGGCATTAGAGGTTGGATCCCGAATTGTGAAGTCTGGGATGTTTCCAGTTTTCTGAAAATGGACAGTTGCGTAATCTAACCCAGAATCAACTATATATTGTTTTAAAAAAAAAACATGTAGGAGAACCAAAAAGCTATACAGGAGAGGTGTCATCACTGTCCATGCCTTGACCCTGCAGCGATGTCACCCCAGGCCTGTGTCCTTTAAGCGTGTCAGTGCTGCCTGGGAGTTTAATCCTGTGTCCAGGTTACTTGATTAAAGACTGAGGGGGAAAGACAGCTATGGAACTGTCCCAGGCCACATCCTTCACTCAAGTTGACACAGCCTCTGTGGGGTAGTGACGGCTGCCTATGGAGTGCCTGTGGCCCCTGCCCCACCACTGGTGACCTGCTTTGGTGCTGTGTCTTGCTGGGATGTCACCAAGGGCCGGAGAAACTGCTCTCGACCAGTCATGCTCTGGCTCCTCAAACTCTTCCCTTAAGTGGCCCATGTCACATCCACTTGTATGTCCTGGCCCAGCCAGCCTTGCTGGGACCCTGCCCAAGGACAGTGAGTGTTTTTGAGCACCAAGTCAGTGTTCTGACCCCCGGCTATGGCCCCTCTTGACTCAGAGCCCTGTGAACTGCCCCCCTACCAACATTCCCCCGCAATAAAAAGGAGAAGACAGGTGACAAATCAAACCTCCTCCACCCACCGTCCACGCATCACCACACCGTCCACACATCCACCACACCGTCCACGCATCCACTACACCGTCCACGCATCCACTCACCGTCCACGCATCCACTACACCATCCACTACACCGTCCACGCATCCACTCACCGTCCACGCATCCTCTACACCGTCTATGCATCCACTCACTGTCTACGCATCCACTCACCATCTACACATCTGCCTCTCATCACCCACAAATCCATCTTCCATTCATTCACCACCCAGCCACCCCTGAGTGCATGATGGAGAGGTCCAAGCATCGATCCATGTGATTAACACAACCAGACACCCCAGAGCCATCCCTTCAGCATCCCCTATTCCTCTCCCTACCTATCCCATACTCTCACGATCCGTCCACTGTCCTCTGTCCGTCCACCCACTTCTCTTTCTCCCCCAGCCCCCATGGCCCACACAGGGATCGGAACCCTTGACCTTGGTGTTGTAACACTACACTCCCGCACATTCATTTCTAGCCAATCACCTTCTATGCTCTCACCCACCAGCTACTGTCTCTCCACCAACTATCCGTTCACAATTCATCTAAAATTCTGCTGACCATTCGTTCATTTGCCGTCAGTCCATCTACCATCTGATCTCATCTGTCATCCGTTTCCATCCATTCACTATCCCAAATCCACAGCCTTTCCTCACCCACGGTCTCATGAGCCATTCATACACACGCATCCTCTCAGCATCTGCAGTTGACTTCTTGCCCTTCAGCTGTCGACTTACCCAGCGACCGTGCATTTGTCCACCAGCCATTCTTGCCCACTCTTCACTGAGCTCCCGTCGACCATCCGTCACCCCTCCTTCCACAGTCCACTGTCCTCTCTGTCCATTTATCCCCGAACACATTAACCATTACTGAGCTACCGTTCATACTTACCCATCCACCGTTCGCTGTCAGCTGTACATCCATCCACCATCTGTCATCTTTCTATTCATCAACATCCTTTTACAACCTCCTACCCTTTACCCATCCACCATCCACCACCCACCAGCTGCTCATTCATTATCAAGCCACCATCCATCCGTGATCTACCATGTGTCCGTTTATTATTCATCCACTATCCACCCACTGTCACTCACTCACCATCCATCCACCATCATCTTTACACACCACATCATGCGCCATCCATCCGCCATCATCTTTACACACCACATCATGCGCCATCCATCTGCCATCAACCTTACCTACCACATCATGCGCCATCCATCTGCCATCAACCTTACCTACCACATCATGCACCACCCATCAGCCACCCGCTACTCACCGTCCATTAATCTCCACCCTTTATGGGTTGACAGCTCACTATCCACAATCTATCACCAGGGATCCTCCACACACCTTCCATCCACTGTTATCCTTGTACCGGGAGGGGGTCCTGTGTGAAGTGGATGCCGTCTCAGTAGGTGGGTAGACTAGGTTCAGCCCCAGTGGCACCCGGGATAGAGCAGGGGGTGAGCCTGAGGGTTGTTTACCACCTGCCACATTACACCCATCTCACAGGGCTGGTCGGGTCTGCCACGCCCCTCCCCCTGGGCTTCTCAGGCCCTGGAGGGGCCTGTGTGAGGGACGCTGAGAAGGCAGCTCCAGAGGGGCTTCAAGAGACGGTCCTGGGCGGGTCTGGAGGTAAATGTGTAACCGTCCGGGGCGCCACCACCAGACCCTGCCTGCTCACGTGGTTCCCACAGGGCAAAGTCTCCTGGTCGGTGACTCGGGGAGCAGAGGCGGGATGGGCGCCCTGGGCCGGGTCCTGCTGTGGCTGCAGCTCTGCGGTGAGCCTGGGCGTGCACTGATCCTGGAGGGTCAGGATCCTCCGAGGGGTGGACAGCGGGGCTGGAAGCGGGCGGGGGGCTGTGGGACCCGACCTGGCCTTCCTCGGGGGCGGGGGCGCGGACCGGAGCCCCTGCCAGGACGGCCTCCCACGTGCGAAATGGGCACCGTCCTCAGCCGCTGCCGAGAGGGCGACTGCGAGCTGAGCCCGCGGGCCGGCGACTGCTGCGGCTTCCCTCCCCCCGCACCCAGGCCGGCCCTGGCCCTGGTGCCCGCCGGCAACGCCCGCGAGCTTGCAAAGCTTCAGCCTAGGCCCCGTCCCCCTTCCCTCAGCCCCTCGCGGGTCCCTCAGGACATAGCCCCGGTTCAGGGACCACCCGGCTCGGCCCTGCCGTCCCCCAGCTCCTACTTCGCACGGCGGGGATGCGCTTTCTCCTGCAGCTCTTCCCGCCCTGGTCTGACTCCCCCCAGGAAGCACTCCTGACCCCAAGGCAGAGGCAGACACCTGCGCTACCCCACCCTCCGCCATCCCCGGCTGTCCCTGTCCTTGACCGGCCCTGTTCTCTGCCCCAGCGCCTGGCAAAGTGGGGGCTGGGCCGAAGGCGATCCAGCGGGCGTCCTGGAGGAGGCAGGGCACGGCGCGGCGGGCAGGGGCCCTTCAGACGGCAGCGTCGGGGCCCCCGCAGGGTCCGGTCTGAGGCTCAGACCTGGACCTGGGCCACCAGCGGCGACCCCATCTGTGACCCTGGGCGCGTCCTCCCCTCCCCAGCGCTGACCCGGGCCACCCACAAAATCTGGGTCCCCAACACCGACTTCGATGCCGCCACCAACTGGAGCCAGAACCGGACCCCGTGCGCAGGCGGCGCTGTAGAGTTCCCGGCGGACAAGGTGCCTCGGAGCCCGCCCTGGGTCCGGAGGGGGCTGGGGATCCGCCCGCCACCTCGTCTGACGCGGCTTCTTCCTGCAGATGGTGTCAGTCCTGGTGCGAGAAGGTCACGCCATCTCGGACATGGTAAGGCGCAGCCTGCGGCCGGGGTGCGAGGCCTGGCCGG